TTATGTTTTTGTTTAAACTAGAACCCTTAAATTTGATTTGTGTTTGATTGGCCACTTTCATGAATTGAATTTTTGTGCAATTAATTAACTTTTAGGGCACCTAATCGTTCTATTAAGTTAATAATTCGTAACAAGCAATAAGTTTTCTTATTCTAAAACATATATCACATGTTTTCACACTTCCGAGCGTATGAGAAGAAATGAACATTATTAAGAACGTGTTTAGGTTGAATTAGTAAAGTTAGGTCTAGTCAAAGAGCGTGTTTTGGTTAGATAATTTGGCAAGCGAGAGGTGTTAGAGCGTGTTAATATCTTTCAGTACCAACTTAGAATAGCAATCTTGAATTACATCAAGTCATAATCAAGTTGAACAACAACATTGAGAACTAGAACTGGAAGCACTTTTACAACTTGCTTACAAATCTATTTCATTTTTTGCATGTTTCAAAGTTGATTGTTATTTTCATTATTTGACCTTTGTAAACAAACCCCCCTTTGTGACCAAAGTACCTTACGCAAAGAGGTATAGACTTTTATCACGTGTCTTTGTGGTTCGACCCTGCTTGCCTTGTACTACCTTTTTAGTGCATTAAAGCAGTGTATTTGGAGTCTGTTGTACCCCTATTATTTGTTGGGTTTGACACGCCTAACAGTACCTTATGTCTCAAAATAAACATAATTGTAGCTAAAAGTATTAGAAATATGTACAAAATAGATGACTAAATATGCACATATCATATTCTTTTAATAATTTTTATAAGTTCTTTTTATTCTAAAAATACACAAAAAATGAAATAGGATAACATATTACTCTATTTTCTATTTTATTTTTAAATAAAAAAATAAGTTTATATTAGAGATGGTCTAAATAGATTGTTAAAACCTAGGAGTGAGGATATGATAGATAGGGCCCAAGTGAAAGGGTCACTTGTCTAGACCCGTTAGTCCGTCTTTTCCACAAACTGGGCTGGGCCGGGGCGACTAGATTTTATGCACATGCCGCGCGCCAGCAACAACGGATAAGAGTTTCCTCCTCCATCACCATCGTCTTCACCACTCTCTCTTTCTCTCACACTGATTGCTGTCGAAATGCTAGCAAGCAGTAGCTTCCATGGCCGACCTTATTCTCACTTCGCACACTCAACAACTAGTAGAGACAACAAACCCCCTATCTCCTCCTACTCCCCCCTTACAAAACCCCACTCTATTCCTTCTGTCTGTGCTTTTCTTTTGTCGAGAAGAATAACCTCGAATCGGTTCAAAATACGGGCTCTAAATCGCGAGTCTAATGGTGACTCAGTCGCAGAAAAAGAAGCAATACCGTTTTTCCCTCACCGCCATTCCGTTAAAATTCCCGTCGGAGATAGACACGTAAGTTGGCCATTTCAGTTATGGTTTTAAGTTATTTTCGAATTGCGTAGGGTTGTGAATTTTCTCGGAAATGAATTTAATATATTGGATTGCTAGGTTTAGACGGTAGATACTAGCAAGGTGAAATTGCATTCCGGTGTGTGGTGGTGGTGTAGTATTGTGTTTTGTTCTCTATTTTTTGCCTGCTCAAGCATTTCCTTTCTTTTATGCGACACACTCACACGACCTTGTGTCTTACGAGATTTGAACACCCAAGGTCCCAACTGAGTAGGATTTTATATTTTTGCAAGTTTGTTTAAATTTGTAGGAAACCGGTTTTGATGGTCTCTGAGGAATTGATTGGTGCGTTCCATGAAAAGGGACTACCATTTTCGGTTGCAAATGGCCATCAAGTTCCAATCTTTCCATCAATCAAAAGAAGCCCACGCTTATAGGTGGAAATAATTGCATTTCAATGTGGTGAACTGGCGATATAGCTAACAGTTGCCTTAATACTTGTCAGTTTTGCAATTTGAGGGGTTGGTTCCATAGTGGAAGGGTAGAAATGTATTTGATTTTAGTACATATATCTCTATCCAGTGTGAACTGTCTTTAAAGTGCTAGAAGTTATTTTAGTTTGTTGGTTCATAGGTAGATGAACTTTATATTAATCATATTGTGTAAACATGGTGGCAGCAATGGTTGTATTGTAAAGCTTAAAAGTATCTCTCATTGTCCCTTATAGCTATCATATGTGTTCCTACTTTTGCAGATAATAGTTGAGACTGGTCAAATAGGAAGACAAGCTAGTGGATCTGTTATTGTAAGAGATGGAGAAACGGTAAGTATCAGGGAAATAAATGTGTTTATATTTTGCTTTGTATCATGTTATGTTACGACAAACGGGATTGCAGAAAAAATGTATTTTCAAAAATCAAAATAGGTATTGTACATTTTGGAAATGCAAGTTTATGATGCTATAATAATATCTCTGAAAAATGGATTATTTTATTTATGCAGATTCTCTATACATCTGTTTGTTTGTCTGATACTCCAAGTGAGCCTTCTGACTTTTTCCCTATGTCTGTAAATTATCAAGAACGTTTTTCAGCAGCTGGTAGAACTAGGCAAGTTTATCATGCTTTTTTGCTTTTTTAATGTGTCAAAATTAACTAGCAATGCCTAAAGTTACTGTTCAATATCATTTAATACAAATATTCTGATCTTTATTTCTTGCTTCCAGTGGAGGATTTTTCAAGCGGGAAGGAAGGACAAAGGACCATGAGGTATTAGTTTGTTCTTAAATCCCTCAATAGAATGACTCTATTTGTTTTCAGTTTTTTGTATTTACATTTTAGTTATTCTGAATGGTATTTATTACTGGGATACAGGTACTTATCTGTAGACTAATTGATAGACCATTACGCCCAACCATGCTCAAGGGCTTCTACCATGAAACTCAAATACTATCATGGGTATGTAGTATGTACTTTCCCAATGGTCAAATATTAAAATATCAGTTTTCTTTCTTCTTTTTGAGAATACTTAATGAATTTGTAGGTTTTGAGCTATGATGGTCTGCACCCCCCAGATTCTCTAGCTGTTACAGCAGCTGGAATTGCAGTGTAAGATTCATCAACAAATTAGCATTGCTTCTCTTAGATCACATCATCAGTTTTTATAATTTCAGCTACCTAATTATAGTTAATGCCATATTATGTACAAACAGAGCTTTGTCAGAAGTGCCAAATACAAACACTATAGCAGGAGTTCGAATTGGTTTAATTGATGATAAGTTTATCGTGAATCCAACAACCATGGAGATGGAAAATTCAAAATTAGATTTATTGTTAGCAGGGTCAGAAAGTGGGATATTGATGATAGAGGTTGTTGTTAATTCCTCATCATTTGAATTTAAATACATAGTCAGTTTGGTAGTTACTCATTCTGACACTAGTATTTTATGTTTCTGACTTTTATCTATTTTAGGGTTACTGTGACTTTCTTCCTGAAGAGAAGTTGCTTCAAGCAATAGAAATTGGCCATGATGCTGTTAGAGCCATATGCAAAGAGGTGGACAATTTGGTAAAGAAGTGTGGGAAACCCAAAATGCTTGACTCAATTAAGTTACCTCCACCTGAGCTGTATAAACATGTGGAAGTACGTGTCTCTTTTCATCTTTTTGAATATATTTTTTTTATTGATTTTATATAACTGATACTATAATGCTTCAGGAAATTGTTGGTGAGGAGTTGGTCAAAGTGCTGCAACTTAAAAGCAAAATACCAAGAAGAAAAGCACTCTCATTGTTAGAGGAAAAAGTTATGTGTATACTTACTGAAGAGGGTTATGTTAGTAAAAGTGAAACTAGTGTTGGTACTGAAATAACTCCAGACATGTTGGAGGATGAGGATGAAGAAGAGGAATTTGTTGTTGATGGTGAATTTGATGAAGGCGATGTTCACATAAAACCAGTCTCTAAAAAACCGGTTCCCCTGGTATCATTTCATTACCATTTTTACCCTTTCTTTTTGCTAGTTTATCACCTACATGATTACTAATTATCCCTCTTTCCTATGTAGTTTTACGCGGAGGTAGATGTGAAATTGGTGTTCAAGAGTGTAACATCCAAATACCTTCGAAAACGAATAGTGGAGGTATGCACGTTGACCATGTTTTTATATTACAAAAGTTTACAAATTGGCCATGTTTTTTATATTTTGTATTTCTTGATTAAGGGAGGAAAAAGAAGCGATGGAAGAAGTTCAGAGGAGATACGTGTTATTGACTCAGAATGTGGGTTACTTCCTAGAGCACATGGAAGTGCTCTTTTTACACGTGGGGAAACACAGGTTTGTGCTAAAAACACAAGTGTTGTAATTTTTATCATTTGTTCCTCATAATCTATTTTTTTCATGTCTCTTGTTTTACAATACAGTCGTTGGCAGTGGTTACCCTTGGGGATAGACAGATGGCGCAAAGAATAGACATCCTTGCGGGTGTAGAAGATGTGAAAAGGTTCTATCTTCAGGTATGTATCAGTATGACTATTTTTTTTAAATCTTGGATAGATGTTATTTTGCAACTTCTGTAGAGCAGTTAAGTTGATAAGTTTCCAAATTGTTGAATATAAACTATACAACAGTATTCATTCCCACCATCTTGTGTTGGGGAAGTTGGGCGAATTGGTGCACCAAGTAGAAGAGAAATTGGTCATGGTACCCTTGCAGAAAGAGCCCTGGAACCTGTATTGCCTTCTGAAGAAGATTTTCCATATACTATACGTGTCGAGAGTACCATAACAGAAAGTAATGGATCTTCAAGGTGCTACACTACTACATATATAACAAATGCATTTCCATGAAAATAAATATTTCCAAAACATTGTTTGACATTCATTTGTTATGTATGATGGATGGTCTCTGATAGTATGGCATCAGTTTGTGGGGGATGCCTAGCATTACAAGATGCTGGAGTGCCATTAAAGAGTCCTATTGCAGGTATAGCAATGGGACTGGTTTTGGACACAAAGGAATTTGGGGGAGATGGGACCCCACTTATTTTATCTGACATCACTGGCTCTGAGGATGCTTCTGGAGATATGGACTTCAAGGTCTATTATTATTTTTTTTTAATAAAATAAAGGAAGGATAGGGTTTTATGAACTTACCGAATTTAATGATTGCAGGTTGCTGGAAATGATGATGGAGTAACCGCATTCCAAATGGATATAAAGGTAGGAGGAATCACTTTGTCAACAATGAAGCATGCTTTAATGCAAGCAAAGGAAGGGCGAAAACGTATTCTTGGTAAAATTTATATAAAAGATGCCAACCATCATTTGACATGTTTGTGTTGTCAGTTTGCATGATTATGTTTTATGTTTTTTTTTTCAGCTGAGATGTTGAAATGCTCACCTCCTCCTTCAAAGAAGCTTTCCAAGCATGCTCCACTTATTCTTGTAATGAAGGTTAAACCTGAGAAGGTTAATCTTATTATTGGTTCTGGGGGTAAAAAGGTGAAGAGTATTATTGAAGAGACTGGTGTGGACTCTATTGACACACAAGATAATGGAATAGTAAGATAAGCATGACATAGTGTGCTTTTTATGCCTGGTGCTTTCATGAAATCTCATTTCTCACATGTCTGAATGGGTATGTATTATTGCAGGTTAAAATAACTGCAAGAGATATGGCAAGCTTAGAAAAGTCAAAAGCTATTATCAGTAACTTGACCATGGTTCCGATTGTTGGTGATGTATATAGGTCTGGAAATGAATGGTTGACATTAATTTATTATGTTAGTTTATACAGGATTATGTATTTGATTTTGTGTTGGTTGGTTATCAGGAATTGTAAAATCACATCCATTGTTCCTTATGGAGCTTTTGTTGAAATAGTACCAGGGCGTGAGGTAGAAATGAAAATTTGTGAATTTACATGATTTTAATTAGTAACTTTTTATTTATTTGAATTTTGAAAATTGAAATGGAATTTTACTCCTGTCCACTCCATTTCAGGGACTTTGCCATATTAGCGAGTTGAGTCCAGATTGGCTGTCAAAACCAGAAGATGTAAGGGTTATATATATATATATATATATATATATATATATATATATATATATATATATATATATATATCACCTCCTTGTATTATTATAATGAATAAATATTCATGAGGTGCTGGTGTTGGTGTTGGTGGTATGATGAATTTTATTTTAATTTGGTTTTCAGGCTTTTAAGGTTGGAGACGTTGTTGATGTGAAGCTGATTGAGGTTTGAGTTTTGTTTCGTTGGGGGTTGTTTAAGGATGATTATATTTAAATTAGTAAAATTGTGATAATATACATACATTACAGATCAATGAAAAAGGGCAACTTCGTCTAAGCCGAAAAGCACTGCTTCCAGTTCCAGAGGGGAGTACAGATGGTGCTGCGACAAAGGAGAGTGGGAGCCCACAGAAATATACAGAGAGAAGCAAATTTAGACGAATGGGTGATGGAACAGGAGAAGAGACTTCTTCAGGTCAACGCAAAGATAAGAGCCCTGAAGGCGTGTTCATCAAAAGATACGTTGGCTCCGGCTCCGGGTCCCGCAAAAGCGAGCAAAAAACAAGCACCACCAAACCTGATACCCCTGCTGCATCTGCATCTAATGAAAGTGGAAATACACTAGTTAATGGGGAGGCTCAAGTTAATGGATAAAAGTGCAAATACATTTGGTAAAAGAGTAATTTCACATGAAAGCTATTATGGATCAAGACCTGCTCTAGAACTAAAAGGGTAGAGGTACCAACTCATTAATTTTATAGAAATGTGACACGAAAAGTTTCCCAAAATAGAAACATTATCGTAAGGAGTTAATGTTAATGAAAGCTTGACTGGTTGATTATTTATGTTGCCAGGAGGGAGGAGGTGTCATCAGCCAAGAAGGGATGCGGGAATTTGTATAAACTAACTTAAACAACATTTTTCACAACAACATCCAAAGACCGAAGTTGGGGTGGGGGGACACTAGAAACTCTAGTTATAAACCAAACCAGCTACTGACGCTGCTGTATTTTTGTCTCAGAAACCAATAGTGTGACTAACTTAAGCCTGTTTGTTGTTGTTATATTGTGTTCAATCAAATTGGTATTGGTGCATGCGTATTGCAACTTCCGCCAATTATCATTGTAGTCATACAATGAGATTAGGGGTGGCAAATCGTGCTACCGTTTCGTGTTTCTGTCTGACACGACACGACACGACAAAGTTTTTTGTAACACGAACACGACACGACACGATGTTGTGTTTTTTTTAACTAATACGAAAACGAACGAATTAAAAAACGACAAATACGAAACGACACGACAAATATAACATATACTAAAAACTAATTTATTTAATGAATATTTTATCAAATATAAGATCCCAGCTAGGAAAATAATGTGAACTGGAGAGTTGTAGATTTTCTATTTTTGTTGTCTATTTCCTACATTTACTTTAAAATGAAGATATGATTGTTGACCATACATGCGCACAGGCTATTATAGAAGTGACATGGCCTGTTATTTATCCTATTAACTTGTACATTAACGGTGTGTTTGGCAAAACTAATAGGTTACTAAAGTTAGTTTTTAAAATTATAAAATTGTGCTAGGTATTGGAGATTTTCTTAAAAGCTAAAAACTAAAAACTAAAAACTCTTAAAAGTTTGTTATCAAAAACATCCTAATTCTAATACTAAACATTCTAAAGGGCTTTTAAGGTGACATAATAATGTCGTGTCACCAAAAGCTAAAACAAAACATTTTTAAGTTTGAAAGTTCAATAGCAAAATACACAAACTAAATAAATAAATATATAACATTATTATTCATGTCGTTGCTCTAAAATTTGCGTTTAGTGTATACACAATATATCACGAGATTAGAATGTTATTCTAATAATAATAGTAATAATAATAATAATTTATAACGAAAATTTGATTATTAATGCCTAGAAACATGGCATTTGATTATGTTGACGCTTCATATGAAACAAGGTGTCAAATGAGGATACATAAGTTAAAAGCAAATAAATAGAATTATATGAGACAATGTCTTGTCGTTTTGTGATATATATATATATATATATATATATATATATATATATATATATATATATTCGGTGTTGTTTGATCTAACGTTTGATGGTGAGCCGCAAAATGATATTTTGAGAATAATGTTGACAAGTCAGATCAAATCAGTATAGGTGTATGAACATCTATTTTTGCAACATCTAAAGTTCTTTCAAATACTCTTAATAACTCTTAGGATGCAGATGAAAATAAGCGTATGATAGTTGATAGATCTTTGTTGGAATTATAAGTTGTGCTTGACAAAGTAGATGTGCCTAATGAAAAAGAAACACTCAAAATGAAAATAAGAGAAGGTGGACAATAGGTAGTTTGTTGACATATTCCGTATTCCCCCATTGGTAGTTATTCTACATTTCTACATGTTTTGAGAGTACCATGTCGTGATCAAGATATAATTTACACATAAGTTTGGTTAATCTATAATCTTCAGTCAACCCAAAAAAAAAAAATGAACCACATGAACTCTCTATGACAATTCGGGGTTTGCATTTCGATGGTAATGATATGCGATATGAATAGTTGCATGAGAAACAAACAACTAATAAACAACCTCCTAAACTATGTGAATTATTTGCGGTTTGCATTAACAGATGCATAAGAAATAAACGCTTAAATAAAACCCCTCGTGAGCAACACGAGTTATTAATGTGTACATGTAACACTTAAAAGCTCGTGCATGTGTTTGGCCATTGAAGTAGCCGTAAGATTTTCACGATGTAAACATATTTACTTTATAGTCATGTTCTTCATTATTAGTATGAAGCTACCAAATGAGAATGCGGTTGATCATAAATGGTGAAATCAAAAAGTGTCATTGTGATGACAAAATTAAATTATTTACTTCTCAGATTTCTTTAATTCTGATAGAAAGTTCTCTGGATGTCATAATTTCAATCTTTGTGTAATAACTATCTTGGTAGTAACTGTAATCGATTTATATTATTGTTTATTTCAACTACATTTAACGTGATATTTTTACACGTCACAAGAAAAAACTAAATATTTTAGATGGATAAACGGATAACTAACTTACAAAGCTATAAAGATTTGCTTATTGACATGCATAATGAGTTGAAAGATATGTAGTCGGAACTGAAGGAAACACAATTAAAGTTAAAGAAAAATATCGTAAACTAAACCAATAGATTAATGTTGGAAGGATATATGTCCGAACCTGAGGAAATGTAGTTTTAGTTAAAAAGATGAACCATATTATTAGTTTGAAGTTGGAAGAATAGAAGTTTGTAGACACGCAACTTACTAGGATTTTAATTATGGTCATAGTAGTTTTGATATTGTGTATGAAAATAATTAAAATGGTTTTATCATAATCGTTGTCATTGGAAAGTTTATTATTTAACTATTGATCATTGGAAAAAAAGTCCCAATATTTGCGGAAAAGTTACACTTTAGTCCCAAGATTTTTTTTTTGAACGAAAAAGTCCCGAAAACCGGCAAAAATTTGCAGTTTGACCATTTTTGACCGGTTGAAACCGATACCAAGTTAATTTGGGACTATTTCGTAAACTAACCCAAAATATTGAGACTTTTCTGTAAAAAAAAATATTAAGACTTTTCAGTAAACAAAAATATTAGGACTTTTCTACAAACAAAATCATTATTATTATTATTATTATTATTATTATTATTATTATTAAAAATATAAATAGGAATACTATTTTTTGAACTTGTTATTATTAATATTGTTACTAATAGATATAAATGCATTTAAATGAATAAATAATATTAATGACATTGTTTAAGGTTGGAGGTGGAGGAGATGGTGATGCTTTTAGCATTGAAATCGTGAATGTCTGCTTGTATATTTTTACTTTGTATATGGTCAAATCACATTTGTTATTATTGTTTAATAAAAAGTAATAGAAATAATTCAAAAGTATTAATCAAAATTCAAAAGTATTAATCCAAAAAACATATCCTATTACTTTTTATTAAACAAGATATTGTAATTAATACTTTTGAATTTTGATATGGGCTATGTATGTAGATGTTTGTAGTGGATCTGTTGAATTTGGAAAGTAATCCTTCTACAAAGTAAAAATATAGAAGCAAACATTCATGATTTCAAAGCTAAAAGAATCACCATCTCCTCCACCTCAACCCTTAAATAATATCATTAATATTATTTTTTTCATTTAAATGCATTTATATGTATTAGTAACAATATTAATAATAACAAGTTCAAAAAATAGTTTTCTTATTTATATTTTTAATAATAATAATAATAATAATAATAATAATAATAATAATGATTTTGTTTGTAGAAAAGTCCTAATATTTTTGTTTACTGAAAAGTCTTAATATTTTTTTTTACAGAAAAGTCTCAATATTTTGGGTTAGTTTACGAAATAGTCCCAAATTAACTTGGTATCGGTTTCAACCGGTCAAAAATGGTCAAACTGCAAATTTTTGCCGGTTTTCGGGACTTTTTCGTTCAAAAAAAAAATCTTGGGACTAAAGTGTAACTTTTCCGCAAATATTGGGACTTTTTTTCCAATGATCAATAGTTAAATAATAAACTTTCCAATGACAACGATTATGATAAAACCATTTTAATTATTTTCATACACAATATCAAAACTACTATGACCATAATTAAAATCCTAGTAAGTTGCGTGTCTACAAACTTCTATTCTTCCAACTTCAAACTAATAATATGGTTCATCTTTTTAACTAAAACTACATTTCCTCAGGTTCGGACATATATCCTTCCAACATTAATCTATTGGTTTAGTTTACGATATTTTTCTTTAACTTTAATTGTGTTTCCTTCAGTTCCGACTACATATCTTTCAACTCATTATGCATGTCAATAAGCAAATCTTTATAGCTTTGTAAGTTAGTTATCCGTTTATCCATCTAAAATATTTAGTTTTTTCTTGTGACGTGTAAAAATATCACGTTAAATGTAGTTGAAATAAACAATAATATAAATCGATTACAGTTACTACCAAGATAGTTATTACACAAAGATTGAAATTATGACATCCAGAGAACTTTCTATCAGAATTAAAGAAATCTGAGAAGTAAATAATTTAATTTTGTCATCACA